TGGATCGGATCAATCTCGGCCGTCCGTTCGCGTGAACCGTCGCCCGTGCGCCCGGTCCACCAAACCCTAGCCCGCTGACGCAATAAATCCTCTTTTCCTTTTCAAAAATAATTCATTATTGCGTCATAATTCAATTTAAACCGATTTAAGTGTTTTAATCCGATTTAATCTTTAAAAATTCATAACTAATTCATCTTAGCTCCGATTTAGTTGGTTCAAGTCTCTAAATTTTTCTAAAATTGAGATCTACACATTAAAAATATCCACATGTACTGTTCATGCTTGTTTTTGTGCTGTTTTGGTGATTTTGCTTCTTTTTGCTTAGATTCCGTCGTTTCCGGAGAGTCCGTTTTTGCAGAAGAAGAGTTTGAAGAGTTCCAAGGCCAGCAAGGCAAGTCACACAGATCCCAAACAACCCTTTGAGCATGTTGATCCTATTTAAAGCTATTGTTTCTATTCAACTATTGCATCTATTTTCGAATGTCATTGGGTGGAATTGACCTATTCTTTGTTATGGCCCTTTTGTACATTGATTACCTTATTCCTTGATACCTTGGGTTATATTAATTTGACTAGTTGAGCTTTATTTATATTGGTTCAACTAGATATTAGATATAATTGCTTAGCCCTGCTTAGAAACATTAGTACACTTATGGGATAACTAATGATTCACTATTATTTCATGATGGCTTATTGATAGTTCACGATGGTCAATCGTGATTAGTTAATTAATTAATGTGCCAACTAAAACCTGGTAATGGTGGGTTGTGAGCACATGGTTTTGATGGTCGTGCTCATGGCAATTAAGGACCGGTTCACGAGTTTCGGTTGTGAAACATTTATCGTGCCAACCACAAGCCAGCATGGGCAACGGCTTTATCTTTTGTATAGCATGGTTCATTGCGGGGCACCAGACTGAGAAGTGGCGGAGATAAGCCCACGGGGGTCGCTGGGGAGTCCATGCCTTGTTTATAAGGGGGTGATTATGATCCAGGAAGGTGCGCTGCAGTGAATTGTGTTATGCGAGGGGTATTGTCACAACTCCTTTCCGAGATACCGTGGTGGTATTGAGGCACATGGTGACATGATGTGGGGTTGTGTCTTGTGGGTACAGTGGTACACCTCTGATCAGAGTAAAACTATTCGAATAGCCGTGCCCGCGGTTATGGGCGGGTCTAACAATGTCTTTCGTGATTAGTCTCACACCTCTCATCATTATAAAAGATGCTATAACTGGTAATAATTTGATTAGCTCCTGGTTTGGAATGGTACATTCCTGGTTTGGAGATAGAACTGTGCAGCCGGGGTGGTTGTTCAGAATGGTTGGGCCTATACAACAGGGTATGTTGTATAGCGTTGGATTAATATTGCTTAATTATTACTTAACTGTTTTATCAAATTCTCAAATGTTTGCTAAATGCTGCTTTTGCAAATGGAACCCTATTATGCCATCCTTTGTTATCCTGTGCACTTGCATATTTGCTGCGTGGCTTGCTGAGTATGTCATATACTCACCTTGCAATCATTCATCAGAGGAAGAGTTCTACAATGAGGCTGATGGTGTGGAGGATTAGGTGTAGCCTTGGTCAAGCTGCCTGTGGAGTGGAGCCGTCTGCGCCGTTTATTTAATTTCCGCTGCTTAGAACTTTATTGATTGAGAGGAACTATCTACCTTTGTAATGACATTCTATTCGCTTATCAATTAGAGTAATATTTGTACTCTATTATCAATTTGTTATTGTGTGCCTCGGCTGATTCCTGGACGAGGGTTCACACACATGTAAGCGTTTGGAATTTTGGATAGAAATTCCGAGCGTGACACCGATGCATGGAGGAAGAGGGGCAGAGCCCGTGCCATCTGGCTCACGGAGGATGGCTGGCGCCCCGGCTGGTGACGGGCACAAGCACCTGGCTCCAGCGGCAAGGCCCTCCAGGGCACCGATCGGCGATGACGACGTCCAGTGCGGCGTCCAACGGCGAAGAGCCCCTCTGTCTCCACACTCGCCCACGCTGTCGCCTTTGGCTTCCGCTTCTGGGTTGGTGCCGGCCTCCCCTCCCGCGTCGCAGCTGCCGCCGCCGTCGCCTCTCCGCCACCACGCTCGCCTGCCAATGCCGCCTTGCTCTACCGCCGCCCTCCCTTTCTCCTGTGTCTCCGCCGCCGCGTCCCTGCCGCAGTATCGCCGGCCGGCCGTCGACCTCCTCACCCCGGCGACCTCCTCCCCATCGTCGGCCGACCTGCCCAGTGCAGAGAGAAGAGTGAGAGAGAGAGATAGGGGAGGGGGAGGGGGAGGAAAGGAGAGGAAGGGAGAGGCTGGCCTACTGACATGGCATCCTGACATGTGGAGCTCACGTGGGTCCCATGCTAACTCAATCGCCACGTCGGACAAAACCAGGGTTAAAATCGCCGAGGGATCTAGTTTGAACTGGTTTTGTAAGTTGGGGGATGTATTGTATCGGGTTTCACGGTTAGGGGACGATTTTGTAACTCGATTACAAGTTGAGAGAACTTCGGTGTACTTTTTTTCCTTCGCGTAATGAGGAGGTGGCCTGACCAGGTGTGGATGCGGATTGGAGGGTCCATCCCGCGAGCTGGTGGAAGTGGAACCGTGGAAGTGAGATAGCAACGGATGTACACCTATCGGAATCATGAAATAGCTATGGTCATAGCCGTTATTTTGCACTAAAACTTGAAACGGGAATTGTGCTGTTAGAACTTGTGTTTTTATTTTAAAAAAGGGTGCCATTCTTTACATAATTAACCTTAACAATAATTCCTCAAAACCTGAGGTTTTGTGAAATTCACTCTAAATATTACGGAGTACTGTATGTAAGAATTTAATTCCAAGATAGAATCGACTAACTTGTGCGTGCTCTCTAAATATTACGGAGTATGCACGCTCTCTTTCTAAGTTTGCTCGCCTTTCTCGTTGCGTGCAAGTTTTGCATCAACACGTAGAACGACAATGAGCTAAACTAGCTTGCCTCGGCAGCTTGCATATAATTTGAATTAGTTTTGTGCTATCGACCAAAATCACCAACGTAAATCACCAATTTCGACTAACGCGTGAACGGAATCGAATCTCGACAGTACGTTCCAAGTTCCTAGACAAGCTGGAGAGTCTCCACTTTGTGTTCATATGGACTCTCCACTTTAGCTGTGTTTGTTCATGCTAAAATTTAAAGTTTGGTTGTAATTGGAATATATGATGAAAAAGTTGTAAGTTTGTGTGTGTAGGAAAATTTTGATATGATGAAAAAATTGAAAGTTTGAAGAAAAACTTTACATCTAAACACGGCCTTTGTGTTCATTGGACTCTTGCTCAAAACACGTAAGACAAATCGAACCAGAAAGCAATTTGTTCGTTTTGTGTGGACGGCATCTGAATCTCACGGAAGTTAATTAGGAATATATAATTCGATCAGGGAGTTGCATCTAGGGTGAATAAGGATATATTATTATTCTGTTCGATGTTCGTGTGCGCCAAAATTTCCGAAGTGGACTGGAAGGCTCCAAATCAAACCCTCAATGTGTAACTACAATTTTATTCCGAGTAATTTTCCTCTTTTTTTTCCCTTCAGATGTACAAGAAATCTGCGTATCATTATAGTCATCTCATAAACACCCACTAAAGCAAAGTTAAAAACATGAGAACTTGTCAAAGAAAAAAAGGTACTACGACCAGCAACCTGTACAAACATATATTCAAGGTCAAATACTAGTAAGGCCTTTGGTCTACCATTCTTTGAGTACTTTTGATTTCAGCTAACTTCAATATTATGATCAAGTACTACAAAACTACAAAGATTTTAACACATGGCAAATAAGCGTATTATGGTCCTAAGGTTTTTACAAACTACACCGTATAATCAAATGTTTTTCTTATCCCACCATGCTTATGATTTATGAAATTAATCCAAAACATCTACAATATGAGAGTTTTAATCATCTAACTTAAGTGTTTTTATTTTTTTTTCAATAGTAGTAGTTAAATTGATTAATGGTGTGGTTTTGTGTAACTCAGTGCTAAACATATGTGGATTTGTACAACGCCGAACTACGATACTCCCCAGTCCCAAATTATAAGACGCCCCCTTTTTTTTTAGAAAAATCAAACTCGGTATATTTTTTACTAATGATTATACTAACCATATATTTATGTTAAGTATTATGCATGTTATATTACTAGATTCAAATTTTAAAGTATTTTCACGTGATGGTAATTTCATATTCATTGAAAATACAAAATATAATAAATTAATGGTTAAAGTATATCATTGAAAAACCATGTAAAAAATTATAGGCCTTATAATTTGGGACAGAGAAAGTAGATTAGTTTTTGTGAAGTTCTACTCATTTCTTTCACTTGATCATAATCTTATGGCACGCAAGCTATATAGATAAGAGGTTCCAACTCAAGAAATCTGAAACCACATTATGCACACCCAGCTTGTTATACATAGGAATAAAAGCGACACCAATTTTGTTACAACTGGCACAGCCCACCTTAATCGTATAAGAAAATGGGCTGCAGTTGGGCTTGTCCTGATGAGCTGCATTGGCGTGGTTTGGCCCTGTTGTTCACCAGGAAATACTACATGCAGGCATGAAGCAACCACTACGAAAAAACAAGATCATCTGCCGCAAAACGCACTCATACTCGCATGGTTTTCTCATGTGTTAGCATCCATATTCTCCGAAGTGTGCGTATCTGACTCGACGAATAATGGAACTCAACTATTTCCAATAGCAAACTCACGTCCGGTAACTCTGCAAACCTAGCAAGCATCCAATTCTGTAAAAGCTCCCCCGTTGCATCGTGCCATCACTTGCCTGGACAAGCAACAATAATACAGGGGCGCCTTTATTCCTGCACATCTAGGATTTGTACTCTGCACACTTGAGAGAGATCTTGCATATCTAGCACGAAGGCCTATAAATACCTTGTTGCCATCCGTTTCCAGTTCATCATCAACAACACAGCTGCTTAAGAGCTTCTGAGCCTTATCCCAGGGTCAGGACAGAACAGAGCAGAGAAGCATCAGAAGAATGGCTTCTCTGAAGGCCGTGAAACCTGCCGGACTTGCCAAGGAGCCGGCTGCCAAGCTCAGTGAGACGGCGACGAAGCCCGCGGCCGCCAAGGGCGGCGTCAAGAAGGCTGAGCAGAAGCCCCGGGAGCCCAAGAAGAAGGTATAGTACTGCAGCTGATCCAAATCCAACTTGATGTTGGTAATCTTGCTGTTGTTTTCTTGGCAGCGTCTCTTCTTCGTGTTGATTTAGTCATTTGGCTATTTTCATGTGAAATCAGGTGAAGAGCAGCAAGCCGGCGGCAGCCAAAAACTGATAGTGGCAACAGGAGAGATGGAGATAGTACGAGGGTCTCCATCTTACGCTATGCTATGGGATTATGAATCCCGTCTGTCCCTTCCTCTCGTCACCCCGTGATGTCTTGATCATGTAGCAGCAACCTTAGTCAAGCTGGTCTTGACGGTGTGTGCAGCCCATGTGATGAATATTACAAATAAGATGGTACAGTTGTGACATCCGCTTCATATTTTTTCACTTGGTGTTAATTCTGTTTGGATTCCATCACTGAGAAAAAAAAACACTGAAGGTTTCGCCTGAAAAAAAAAACTCGAGAAAATAAACCCATCATGTAAGAAAGAGCAACTATGAACAAACACGTATGGGGAAAAAATAGTAAAGATCAAGCAAAGCACAACTGGCCTAGCTAACAGCAAAACTGAAAATTCACTACAAAAAGAACTACAAAATAACTGGCAGCATATATGCGAGTACAAAAGAAATGAACTTTGTGTAACTTGGAACAGAACTTAAGGACTGGGCAGTTGCTACAATATACCGATTGCTGTCGGGAACACTGCAAAAGTGTCTTGCTATATCAATCTAAGTACAGCATGAGCTTCTAGATTAGCTAGATAGTAATATTATCTGCTTTACTAAAATTACCCATGATTACAAGGTTCTACAGTAGAATATAAGCATGGTTACAAGCCTTGAGTGATATACTGATATAATATACAACACTATGTACAAGAAGAGAAAAAAGATGTGGTTTCCAATCATGTAGCTTCCACTTCTATTCAATACCATCTACAAGTTCCGCAGAGTTCTAAAGTGCCAAATGCCCATGAAAGGAGGTTTAGCTTGCCTGATCCCATCTACAATGGCTTCGCCAATAATCCTTTCCTCATTAAGGCAGAAAATGCACATATGTACTTTGCATTAGTTAGATATTTAATGTACAAATTCCTCTGCAAAAATCTGCATCCAAACATTTCCAAATAAGTATAAATTTCATTAATATGCAAATAATCCAATAGTTGGCATAAATACTTCAACGAATTAATGGACAAACGAGTAGTGAACATAGAAATTGCAAACTGTTACTAAAACAGTTTGGACTAGCAAATAGTGTATTTTAAATATAATATTCACAAACAAATGTAGAACCAACCTCAAATCCCTCAACAACTAAATTCTCAAACTGCCATTGCACATATGGTGGTCTTTTAAATAAGTTCACCATAATATCACCACTCAGATAGGGAAAAAAAGCATCTGGCCTGTTTGATTACACAGAAGGTGGCACAAAGACTTTTCTAAGCATATCGTGGAAAATGATATTCCAGTTCTAATGGCCTGTTTGATTTGAGGAATGAGGAGATCGATTGACCACTTGACAATGGGTTGTTTGGTTTAACGAATGAAATTGGACCATCATCTCATCCCCAAAAGTACATATTTAGGCCCTGTTTGGCACAACACCAGATCTTAGATCCTTTCTGGATTTAGAGTTTGTTAGTTAAACAATAGTGGTTTGAAATTTTATATTTCCTATAAAATACGAACAAAATGATTCATCCAAATGCTAATATAATCACAGATCCAGACCCATGGATTTTCTACCCAGCTCTAAAAATTGATGGATCTGGAACTGTGTGAGTAATTGCACCAAACTTGTAGGATAATCCCATGATGGATAACCCATCCTAGATGGTCTGATTCCTCAAACCAAACAGCCATAGTCCCACAGGCCACAGGATCATAGTTTCAGATTTCAACTCTACATGCAAGTTCGGTTTCTATTTTAGATAAGTAATAAATAACCAATGGTTTACAAGTCGGTTGTATTGTCATTGAGAATAGTTCTGTCTTTTAAAACAAAATATCTTATCAGAGTCCCTTAACAGAAGATATACAGCTTAGAAACACCAAAATACTGACATTTGAAACTTAAGCGCCACTTATACCTTATAATTTTATTAGAATAAATACAAAATCACAACTACACAAAAAATAATAGTGATTACCTACTAGAATGGACTAAATCGACGGGCCAGCTGTAATTGCCACTCAAACACCAGGCGCCTTGGAGCTGGTGCCAGAGCAATCTTTTCTTGTGTAATTTCATCATCAACATGAATAATAGACAATACATCTTCAACCAATGGATCTCTTCCACCCCGAAGAGGATCCTATGGAAAGATGTAAAGAAACAGGTTATAATCAAAGGAAGTTTAATTGAACAACTATAAGAACTCATAATTAAATGATATTATAGTCCCACAGCAAAAAAAAAATCTATATACTTTCAAAAGACTGTATTATAAAAAAAGGTTTAAGACAAAAAAAGATAGCAACGTGCTTTTATTATATATCAAAAAAGAACGCGGCAGTATAATAACTAAGTATATCTTTTGCAAGATCTTAACATCTAACTCAAACCAGATTCCAAATGATTGGTCAATACCAGTTCCTCGTTAGTGTGTGATAATCCAGGACAGCTGGGATACACCAACACTGGTAGTTCAAAATGGTCAGCAATCGACTGGAAACTGGTAACTTCATCAAAATTTCCCTGATGCTTTTTTCATTTTAACTATTTTAAAATCTCCTAACAGTGGTAACGTGAGTACAAAACTTAACACTACTTAGCCTAATTCAGTTAGAACTTAGAAGTCAGAAATCGGTGAGATACGGCAAAAAAGATCATGACCCTTGCCATAAAACATTGCACGTAACTTTAACTTTACACATCTAAGTGCTGCCGATACTAATAGAGCTTGAGACCAGAAAAAATAAATTCATTATAGCCATTCCGCGTATATTACCTGTATAAATATATCTGTATGTGTTTTGCCTTCGTACAACTGTAACTTGGCTTGAGCACCAGCTTGTTGAAGGACGTCAGCAAAAGTTTGACTGCATACAAAAAAACAGAGTAACTGGTATCATGAAAATGGAAAACATTATGCCAGTTCAACAAGGGGTCAATCAACAAATGATCCATCCACTACACAGAACAATCTTACAGTACATGGCAACAAGAACCAATATAGCTGAAAGCATGTTTATAATAGAAAAACAAGTAGCACAACACAGTAATATTTGTTCTAACAGTTTAACTCTGAACTATTTTGTACTAGTGTTGAATATGGGAAGACAAATAATGGTCTCAATAAACTTGGCATTCTATACAATCAATCTCCTATTTACAAGTACTTTGATAAATCTACTGTCCTTTGAACTCCAGATTTAATGAAAAATGCAATATAAGAACTTATGCTCCGGTTCTATCTAGAAAAACTGCAAATGCTTTTCTTCAATTCTCTGCTCTGTATATCCACATTTAGGCTTGTAATAGCCAAGATGTAAAAAGACTTCATATTCATGATATGCTACATTTAAGCTTCTAATAGACAACACTGGAAAAGGATGGAGAGTATAAGGGAAGAATTGGGGCATTAGAGATGTTAGGCATGCTACATCTTGGTTTACGCCTTCATCAATCCAGCTTTTTTTCAACTTAGATTGGCATTGCTTCCTAAATTCAAGTGAAACTGGACTTAGTAAATAAAATTTCCTTTAGTAACACCTGCATGTCATGCCATAAAAAAAATGGAGGGTAGATAGGTATAGGTGAAGCGTGCATTTGCTCGAGTTTGTCTTGTGTCATCTTAAATGGACATCTGCAGAAGGCATAAGAAGAAACCTGGCAGATGATGGTATTGAATAATCTTCAGTTCCATGCATAAGAACAATGGGAGGCAGAAGAGCTATTGTCTGGGAACTTGACTGCTTGACAACAATTTCCGGAGAATAACGTGACAATGACTCCTCTCCTTCCATTATGCTGAAACAGTTATTCAAAAATTTTCCTTAACTGCTGTTTAAACAAAACAAACCACTTTCCAAGCATAGACATATTACTACCTGAAAAATATTGAACGATTAAGACCACGTTCATGAAAATGGTCAACCAAACTATGCATGTTGTATCTGCTCCCCAAAAAAAAAATGTTGTTAGTGCTTCCAAATTCCAATGTATGCTTAGTATTCTATCAGAATAATCCGAAAGAGAAAAGAAAACAATTGAATATTGGAGGCTGGTGCTTATTCGTAATATGGTGATAACAATCATCATAATTCATCTTCAGGAGATAACTTTTGAAGTGTCTATCAAACTCCACAGCACATTGAGAAATGATTTATTTGTTTGACTAGGAGAAACAATTTACTCCATTAGAGATTTATATGTAATCACATTGAATTGATGGTCAACTAAAATCAGGGTAAAAGGAGGTTGATATAATAAATCATAAATATGCACAATGAATCATTGATAGTTTTATTTACAAATCCTGAATGTCAAATTGAAACTGAGTTAAGCAGTTTGGTCGAACCACTTTCATATTGGCACACATGGAAGCACCAGCAAATGAAGAGAATGGAACAAAGAATAACTTGGGGGAGAATTCATAGGGTTTCTATTTACATGTTAGTAACAAATACAACTAACCCAGATGATGTGAAATGATGAAGACTATTAATTTATTTCTTATTTAAGATTAGTTCCCATTTGGATGCACTCCCATTGATTCACGTGCCAAAACAAATAAATGCAATTACTTGTTTGAAGATTGGAAGAAAATAACATGCTTCCAGTGTTTGATCAAATATGCCGAGGACAATATCTTCCAGAGAAAACGGCCAATATGCCCGAAAAACAGAATATCTGACATCCAAGTGTGAATTTTAAGGATAGCAAAAATTAAATAAGAAGTTGGCAGACTTTTTGTTGCTTGCTGCCAACTCAATGCATATACCAGTGTTGCAGTAATAGGAATATTCACGCAAAAAAAAAGCTAATAAAAACGAACTGCAAGCTCACCCTCCAGATAAACCAAAATATGCTTTGATTTGTGTAACACTCCAAGAAATGGACTGCCCACTAGATTCTTTCACTGCCTGCTCGATGAGGGCACATGCAGCAATATGTGCTCCTGCTGACTGACCCACCAAGTAGATCCTACAGGTTTAACATAAATCCATAAGTATGTCATGAAGGAGCTAGAATTTGCTGTTTTTATATAGCAAAAGGTTATTCTGGAGGAAGTTACTTATGAAGGACTAATGAATTGAAGGAGCAAGGACAGATAATAAACAGAATTATATCAATATATGGCTTGACAATATCTACACAAATATGAAGAAAGAAAATATCTACATGAACATGTGATATTTGCTACTTTACCTAGCATGAAGAGTTTAAGGGTAAGCAACCAATGCCATAAATCAACTTTCTTTTTCTAATAATAATTCTAGGAATTTCAAGGAGGCTATCAACAGACATTGCTATGTAAATGCCAAAAAATTCACATGCAAACTTGACTTCAAAATTTTAATAACAGTTCTGTAAGAACCTTTCATAATAACCTTAATAGAAACTGAAATAGTTGTTATCTTACCGATTAGGATCACCTCCATAACTAGCAATGTTGTTGCACACATAAGAAATACCCTGGGAAGCATCGCTAACCATGTCACCTATTGTTCCTTGAGGGAAATTTCTGATATAAATGTACAACGTTGTATTAAACAAATAAATATTGCCAACAGTACAATTCCTCATTAGTAATAAAATGATATAGTATTGATTCAGTGGAGTCATCAGCACCTGTAATCAATGCAAGCAACTATGATTCCTCTCTCAGCCAACCGCCTCCCAAGAAGGGAACCCCATGCCTTGTAACTAAAATATTTTGTGCAAGGTCATCAACAAAGAAAAGCCAATGAATACCGTGGCGCCTTGTTGCAAACTTAACACTTACCCAATAATCCAAGCCCCACCAGTTACGAAGGCCACCACTGGGCAGGGTCTGTTGATATCTTTGGGTATGTACAAATCTAGCCTGTTCAATGTAATATTTATCAGTTTCAATAACATACAGGAAACAGTGTTCTTATTTTATTTTATTGATGATGATGTTACCTGTTTCTTGGTTGTTCTCCATAGACTATACTTCTACGAACCTGACTTGAGAAGAAATAGTAATATCCAACTGTGAACCAAGAAAGGACTGTTTTAGAACGTTGTAGGGTAATTAGGAAGAGAAATCAGACATGCCATATTCTTTTCTGAAACTGTGTTAGGGTCAGGTTTGAAATTCTGAAAAAAAATTATTTGCCAGTTGGTCCTGGTAGGAAGTGTCTCCAGTAAAAATTGGTCAAAATAGGTCAAAAGTCCCTTTTACCCTTTCCTGTTCCTCTCATCTGAACTCTTCCTTCCCCTTATGCTAGACAATATTGCCCCGAACCACGCTCAAACCAAGCAAAAATTTTGTTCGGAAGTTCAAACAAAGTTCTGAATATTTGGAACTATGTCCATCCGTCTTCCCCCCCCCCCCCCATCCTGCAGGCATCACCACCGTAATTTTCTTCTTTTTTTTTGCATAAAACCCTAAGGCATCATACTCTTCATGCGCAACACAACTGACTTGAACAATTGAGTCAATAGAACTGCATGTTATCTGCAGCATACCTTGCAAAAAACCTGGCATAAGTAAAATTGCATAGATTGTCAGGGCAAGTAGTTGTGACATCCACCGGTAACCTAACCTGCAAAACAATTAAGATAGTAAGGAATATGTAAAAAAACCAACACAATTATATTCATCGAGATATTTTTTGGCGAAAGGATGAAAATTGTCACTAAGGCTGTGTTTAGTTCACACCAAAATTGGAAGTTTGGTTGAAATTGGAACGATGTGACGGAAAAGTTAGAAGTTTGTGTGTGTAGGAAAGTTTTGATGTGATGGAAAAGTTGGAAGTTTGAAGAATTATTTTGGAACTAAACACGGCCTAATGTAATGTTACGCTAGCTGGATAGAAACTTTTGCTACATTGAATGCAGAGTTGGAAATAAATACTGGCACTTGAAAATGCAAGGCCCAGACCTGAATATAGCGCTCAAAGATTCCAATATTAAAGCTTCTCAAACATTATATACTTGTGAACTTAGCTGTCTTACAAGTATCTTAAAAGCATATTTATGCTTTGGTTGTGCTTATGAGAACATCTATAGCTGTATACATGTCTTGTAAACAATCTTAACTGCAGCAGCTGTTCAATTCTAAACAAGATGTAGAACAGAATTTCTGAGGCAACAAGAAAGAATCACATCAACAAAATTCATGACTAATAAGCCAGGTAAAATAGAAGCAGCCGTGCATCATGCTGCCACACTGTTCCATGGTGCTACTACTTTATATACATACTGGTCAGTTAATTGATCAGTAAGTCCAAAGCAAGAGCACAATTTGCACGAAGACATAGTGGGCCATGTGACTAACTGACAGCGGTACAGTACACGAGTAATACAGAATGACTGAATCTGCATGTAAACCAATAGTCCAATACACTAATTTAATTTATAAAACGGACAAAATGCGTGTTAGCAACAACAAAAGTCTGCACGCCAGGGAAACCTCTAAACGTTAAAACACTCGTGTGGACCCCGTAGCTTAATTCCCAGTACGTCTCAACTCTCACCTGTCCTCGAAGTTCCACACGCAATTGCATCAGCAACCTAGTCAAAACACTCCCTACTTCCCTAGTGGATTATCGACTTATCGTTAGCTTCTCCATGAAAGCTGCGTTCGAATCCACCACACGGAAGGAACTCCAAGAAAACAGAAGCTTCGCCATCGGAAATAGCATGGAAACAAATCGCCAGCTCACGTATCGCATCGAGGCGTCCGCGATTGGCTCGTGAGCTAGTCCATGATCGATTCGGGCAAACGCAACGCAAGGGCTAACAAGGGTAGAGGGGAAAAAAACAAACTAAACAGCGAATAATTACCCGAGGTACTGCAGGAGGCTGAAGGTGAGGCGCGTGACGAGGTACGTCTCGGAGGCCGCGTGCCCGACATCGTCGCGGAACGAGGACTGCCGCCTCGGGCCGCCGCAGCCGCATCCGGCGGGTCGCGGGGACGCGGACTGCACCGGCGACGAGCGGCGGCGGCGGCCGGAGGAGTCGCTCCGCGAGAGGAGCGCGCCGACCTCCTCGGCGCTGGAGACGGGCCGCATTGCGGGCGGCGCGCGGCGCTGGGGCGGTGTGCGGGATATTCGAATCGGTTCGGGTGGGTGGGTGGGTCGCAACTCGCAACGGTGCGGGAGGTGGTCGGGTGGTGGACGCCGTCGGAGGGGGAGAGTTGGGGGGTGGTGGCGGTGGTGGGGCCTAAATAGGCGGAGTACTCGGGTAGTGCGTGGCAACAAGGGACGCGTGGGCGGAGGCGGGCAAAACATGGCGAAATCTTCCGTTTCCTCCTCGCCTCGGCATCCTTCCTTCCGGCGTAGTATCGCAGCTTGCCTCTTTCGGCGCTTGCGTACGCCTAAAGAGAGAGAAAGAGAGGATTTTGTCGGATTGTTCCGAGTAAAATTTGATATTGCAGTACAGATGTCAGCGTTTTCCTCCTGAAAAGAATTACTCCTATTTTACTCCCAACTCACGCTACGGGGCAAACGTTAAATCTGTATCGTGCAGACACATGGCAGGCAGAGGAGCATGAGATTTCATCGGTGTCTCTCGTGTTTCACCGGCCATAAAAATATATAGCGGAACCAGATTCTATTTTCATTTTTAGAAAAAAAAATGATGGACCAAGCTCGACCGCAAGTGCACGCAATGACCGCGGCGCTCAACCGGTGCCACAGTTCCGATACACTTCTTTAACCTCAAAATAAATTCATCTTTTACTCATCCCAACATTAGAATACCTTTATTTTATCAAATTTTAATATAACAATTTCTCATTTTATCTATTTTCAATACAATTATTTATTACTTTTATAAACTAAAAGACGCGAATATTAGAGAAGAACGTAATATCAAATAATTAAAAGGGGTGAGGTTTCAAACTTAGGTCGTCTAGCCAACCACCTTGTAGAGCTAGCTGGAAGACCCTTACGCGTTTCTCACTTTTATAAACTCCAATACAGTAATTATTTAAAAAAAATAAATATAAATAGGATGAGTTAAAACGAACATATTATAAAGAGGGAGTATTCCGAACCTGTCCACGAAATAGGGAATTTCATGGACGGAACTCGAAAGAGTGTAACAGCCTAATCGTCTCGGTGACGGAGTATGGGCATAAATGGGTTGGTGGTGGCGGGGCCGCACACCAGCCGCAGACGGCGCCAAAGCTGCGTGCGGTGCGAGAGAATCTTGCAGGTTCTAGAGCCGGCAGCCTGCGCTGTGCGGCGTAGCTGGCTCTCGGCCTCTAGCTGCTGGTGGCCTGTGGCCGGCCACTGGCCAGCCTACCGCATGCGGGTGGCCGCGACGCGCGCCTTCCTGCCCCGTGCCGCCGCGCCACGCGGCAGGAGAAGGCCACCGAGGCGTTTGCGGCCGTCGGGCCATGGGAAAAAAAAAAAAAACGTTTCGAGGGGCGACCCGCTGAGCTCGCCGAGCCGGGCTGGCCTGAACAGCCCGTGCCAGCTTGGATGGGCTGGCCTCGTACCCTCACCACCAGGCCGAGCTAGGCTGGACTGGGGAAAGTTGTTACGCTGCTCTTTTTCGTTTTATATATATACTTCGGCTGTTCCGCTCTGGATCGTAATGTGCCAAAGGCATATGCTAAGATCACATAACGTGCATATTAGCTGTTGTCAACCTTTCAAAATGTGTGCTATTCAGAATGCTACTATTTCTTGTTTTACATAAATAATTTCAAATTGGACATGGTGGATTCAAAACGTTGTCTTGAAAAAACTCAATGTAAGTGCTATAGCTCTCTCACGAGTAGAGTAGGAAGGCAAAGCAAAAATTACAGAAAGTGTCCGTGCACGTAATAAACTCTCTGCTTTTTTGCCAGTTGCCACTAGTTTACCATCACCGTTTCGCGAGTTGCCGGAATTCCCCTATCGCCGTCCTCGTCCTCGGCCGCGGACTCCACGCCGTCCCTGTCCGTGCGAGATCTCCATCCCAATTTCATCGCCGAACACTCCCCGCCTCGTCGTCGTCGCAACCACGGCGCCTCCTCCTCCTCCTCGACGAGACGCCCGCGGGTGCCTACGCCCCGTGCCCGCGTGAAGCTTCTGGCTGACGTACCCGCCGCCATCCTCCTCGGTCCCGGCCTTCCTGTCCCTCAAAAGTTTCGCGACCATCTCGATGGCTGCGCCGGCGTCGTCGGTCATCAGCAGCCTCTCCGCGACCTCGGCCGGCGCCACCTCCACCTCCCGCAGCAGCGCCTCGATCTCCGGGAAGAGCGGGTGGTCGTCGCCGGCGACGCCGTGGTAGGTGGCGGCGAGCTCCCTGAACGCGCCGAAGCCGAGGTAGCCCATGTGCACGTGCATGTCCATCCGGCCTGGGCGGAGCAGCGCCTGGTCGAGCCGGTCCACGTGCGTCGTCGTGAAGATGAGGATCCGCTCGTGGCCGCTGCTGGACCAGAGGCCGTCCACCATGTTGAGCAGCCCAGACAAAGTCACCTGCGACGTCGCGCGGTACATGGCAACACAAAAAAAAAAAACGCACAGCTTTGTAAGCGACACGGTAGCATCTGATCAGTTTTGCTAACCTAAGTTTGAGATTGAATTGATGGTTGGGATTTCTCTTTTTGGATGTCTCTTAATCTGATCTTCCTTTGCAATGGTGCTGAGACTGTGAAAACGATTGAGCTTATCACCAAATTTGTTTGTTTTCAAGACGTGACTGATGCGTGTGTGTTCATTTTTAGTGCGGGGTCATGGCCGATGGTGTACGTATGATTGTATTCTTGTTGTACCTCACAAAATGGCAAAGTTGACAACGCACGCGAGACAAACCAAACAAAAATTATGCGCTCTCTTAAAGTTGTGAAACAGTAAAACAACTAGTAGTAGTAAGATATTATGAGAACGAGTATAAAATTTGTGTGCTTTTTAGAAAGGAAGATTTGTAATCTACAAGTGCATGTGCATGTGTACGCACTAGATTTTAGAAAAGCTTTAGTTATTACATCTTTAATATAAGTTTTAACCATGATTGTTTTCCCGAACAAAGATTTTACCCTGCTAGCCTGTCCTGATTTAGAATCAGGAATTTACGCTTCGAATCTCACAAGAACAAGTAATTTAGCCTGTCGTTTGGCTAGTTCAAAGTTTAAGCCTTTTGTTTCGCTTACCATGCACAATTTACAGTTACAGAGCTAATGAGGTGTATTAATTAGTACTACTAAGCACTACTAATACTGACCTTACGATTCACGGAAGGCGGGTTGCTTCCGTCAGGACCTCCATGCGGTTCCCTCCGCGGCGCCGCGACGACGGCGCAGTCGACATCCTCGATCAACAATATGGACCTGTTCTTCATCCGGATCAGCAGCTTCCGCAGCTCGGTGTTGGAGCGGACGCCGCCGAGCTCGAGGTCGTAGACGTCGAAGCGGAGGTGGTTGGAGATCGCGGCGACCAGGCTGGACTTGCCGGTGCCGGGGGGGCCGTGGATGAGGTACCCCCTCTTCCACGCCCTCCCCGTCCGCTCGTAGTACTCCTTCCTGCCCAGGAACCTGTCCAGGTCGTCCACCACCGCCTCCCGCAGCGCGGCGTCCATGGCCAGCGTCGCGAACGTCGAGGCGTTGCGGAGCCTCACGGGCCGCCACTTGCCCCACTCGTTGCTGTACAGCTTCGCCTGCCTCTGCCCCTGGGACATGGCCGCGACGCGGGCCATGACGGCCGGGAGGTACGCGCCGAGCACCATGTCCTTGTGCCGCCCGTCGAAGCTCAGCTTGAACACCTCCCGCGCGTCGTCCCCGCCCCGCCGCCTGCCGCCGCCGCCGCCGCCGTGGCTGCTCAGGCGCCACGTCAGCTCCGCCCCGTCGAACACGTCCACGACCGCCGTGCCGGGGCGCATGGCGAGCGTGATCTGCTCCGCGCCGGCGCCGCGCGGCAGGCTCGCCTTCATCAGCGGCACGGGCGCCGCGGCGAGGAGGGTGGAGACGTACGCCTTGGCCGCGAGGAAGACGCGGTTGTAGAAGGCGCCGTCGAACTCCTCGATGACCACGCAGTGGCGGCGGGACGAGGGTGGCGGCAGGAGGAGCAGCGCGCCCAGGGCCGTGTCCGGGAGGACGTCGGCGACGATCCGGCGCAGCAGCATGGCAGCGCCCACGACGGAGGAGGCCGCCGTGATGGCGTTCTTGTACCGTTCCAGAGCTTCGCTGTTCGGAGACGCCATGGCTGTCCTCGCTGCAGCTGCAGTGGGAGGCTCTGATTAAGGTTTTCGATCTAATCAAGTGTTTGAGTGGTTTCAGTAACAGAGATTAGCATTCAGCAGGTGAGGAGAGCTTTTGGAGTGGTTGCCGAAAGGGAATACCTTATTATAAACATTGTAAAGGTCGGTTTAATTGGTTGGTGTTTGATCACTCTGTCATGTAATTAACCACCGTATACTAATGTTTGTTGTGTAGGTTGTGATTAATGTTTGCTTAGGAAGGAGATTAGTGGGTGCTGACTAGCTAACAGTTCGGTCTACCGTGTAAAGCACTTCAGTCAGTCAACAGGTGCCCTCTGAGTTTGCCAAGGAAAACACTCGGAAATTTCGAACGTACATTTCAAAAACTGCGATTTAATTGGTTGTGCGGCTTGGGGTCTTTCTTTAACGTTTGGTAATCACTCTGAGATAGCCTTTTGTCCACATAGTACATTGATTTATATGTGAAATTTCAAATAAATGTATCTTATACCCCCTCTAAATTACTTGTGTTGGCAGTTTTCATACTGTAACTAACACTCCATGTTACACTTTACACCCATAAAAACTATCCATATCGGTCAAATTATGGCTTGTTTAGTTTTCAAAAAAATTTTTCTAAAAACATCGAATTAAATCTTTGGACACATGTATAGAGCATTAAATATAGATAAATAGAAAAACTAATTGCACAGTTTGTATGGAAATAGTGAGACAAATCTTTTGAGCCTAATTAATCCATGATTAGCCATAAGTGCTACAGTAACTCACATGTGCTAATGATGGATTAATTAGGCTTAATAAATTCATCTCGCTGTTTCCAGACAAGTTATGAAATTAGTTTTTTTATTCATATCCGAAAACCCTTTTCGATATCCGGAATTAGGTTTAATAAATTCATCTCGCTGTTTCCAGACAAGTTATGAAATTAGTTTTTTTATTCATGTCCAAAAACCCTTTTTGATATCCGGTCAAACGTCGAATGTGACACCTAAAATTTTCTTTCCGCGAACTAAACATGGCTTATATTACCCCCTCCTAGACTAGCAAAAGTTGATCCAGCTAGTGGCTTGACCACCACATCACTTTTCATTGCACATAGGTATTGCCAGTCAGTCCAATCAACAACAAAGACGCACCACAAATCCACGATCGTTCTCGCCTCGTTTCTCTGTTTTTGTCTCTACCTCCAGTGTCGGCAATGTTGAGCCGTCCTGACCGGTGGCACAATAATCTTCTGACCAGTAGAGCCCACCCACTAGAACCCTAACACATGGAGGCAAATGGAGCAGAGCTGTATCGTAGAACCCTAACACATGGAGGCCTAGTTTCAAACTTTTTCTTCAAACTTTTAACTTTTCTATTATATTAAAACTTTTCTACACACAAACTTTCAACATTTTCATCACATTATTCTAATTTTAATCAAAATTTTAATTTTAATGTGAACTAAACCACCCCTGAGCTCAAGGAGGGGAGTGGCCTAGCATAGCGGGTTACAGACTGACAGGCATGGTGGCAGTAGAATGAGAAGATCTCTATAGTGCACGTTGAAAATGACACAAAAGCTGACAGCAGCCAGCAGGCAAAGTTGATGTCCATCACAACGCACATTTTTAAGTGAGCCACGTTTTTCCGTGCTCAATTTTAATAAATTTAAAAATATAAGTCACGCATAAAGTAATATTCATATTTTATTGTCTCATAACAACAAAAATACTAATTACTCCATTCGTCTCATTTTAAGTGCAGTGATGATTTTTTATGCCAAAATTTAATCGTCTGTCTTATTTAAAAATTTTAATCGTCCCGTTTTAAGGAGCATTTTGTGAATGTATAGTCCAAGAATGATTTGACGCGGTTAGTAAAACCACATTGGCGTTTTTATGACTTCTGTATGAAATTGATGGCATTAAAGTAATTGAATGAAAATAAGTGGCAGGTGTACGAACAATTGAATCAAAATAAGTGGCAGGTGTACAAATATAGGTGAACATTGTCTGGCAAACTGCAAGAAGAATCACTAGAGACATGGTGGTGGAACAAGTGAAGACTTGGACACATCATCGCACTTTTCAAGGCTTAAATCCCACTATCTACCTCCGTGCTAATACAAGTACAGTCTAGGTTTTATCTAACTTTTAACCTTCCGTCATATTTAAAAAAATTATAAAAAAATTAAAATAAAATAATCACACATAAAATACTATTCATGTTTTATCATCTAATAACATAAAAATAGTAATCATATTTTTTTAAATAACATAGATAGTCAAACGGAAAAACTCACAACTACACTTATATTGGGACGGAGGTAGTAATACTTACCATTATACTCATAAAAAAAATACATTTACACTTTTAATGGAATTTTGGTGGAACCAGCACACCAAAATTTAAATTTAGACTTAACACGGTACTTGAATTTACGGTTATTTACTCTTTCGATGGTAGATGGTGTACATGTTTACAGCGAGGCGTCTGTGGTGAATAGGGGTCTTCTTAATAGGGGTAAGATGTGAGTGTGTGCGTGTTGTGAACTCTTGTGTTTGTACTGTATTCTTAAAAAAAGGGGCTTGTTTGGTTGTCACTTTGAACTCAACACAAAGCTTTATGTGGAGGTGAGAGAACTTATATAAACAAAGAGTGTTGATTTCTATACAAGAGCTAGCTCCTTATATACTTCAAGATAAATACATTAAATGTACCGGTGAAAAAAATATGAGAAAAAAATAGAGACAATTTTATAGCTCATCTATTATACATATCAGCTCTAATACAAAATTATAACTAATAGCTGGCTCTACTATTATATTTGGTTATTGATCATAGCCTGAGGATAGATTACATTAAATGTCACCAGTGGCTCCCGGCTAGTATAGGCAGCTTCACAGGTTTGCCAGTGAAAACTCCATTTAATTTTAATATTGATTTGTGAATTGTTATGAAATTTGTACAGTAAATATTAGTTACATTGAAGTTTATCTGGGCTCAAAAAAAATTTTTGGTTCCGCCACTTAGGGCTAATTTGTTGGAGCTTCTAGTTGCTGCAGCTTCTCTCAGAATCAAATGCTCTTCTAAGCATACCAGCTTTTGGTTAAATTATTTATAGAATCCAGAAAATAAACTAGAAGTTAGAAGTTAGAAGCTGAAAAACTTAATTTTTCTAGATTCCCAGCTATTTCTCAAAACATAAACTTTCCAAACAGGCTCTTAGGCCATGTTTCTTTCAGTTTGGGATTATTATAATCTAGATTATTGAGTCAGATTACTATAAGCTAGATTGTTATAATCTGTAGTAGAATAAGCGGTTAGTTTGTTTCTTTCCTAGATTATTGGGTTTGCAAGTCTAAAGAGGGAGTGGGTGGCATGGTGGGTAATTTTTCATCCAATAATCTGGAAAAAGCTCACCTAAATGAGCTTATCAAATTATAAAAAGCTGGCTTCGGATTATAAAAAACTACTTCAATAAATTGTCTGTTTCTTTCAATTTACTCTTAATAATCTGGATTATATAATCCCAAACTGAAAGAAATAGGGTCTTAGAGCAGGTACAATAAGTTAATTAGGTTGGCTCCAAAATTTCTCACACCACCTTAATCCTATATTAAGGGGGAAGAATTGAAGCGAGAGAAACGAGCGAGCGCTTAATCTAGCGTCGGGCGGTAGCGCAGCCTCCCACGCCGTATAGCCTGCATGCAGCCCGTGAAGGCGATTAAAAACGCGTTATATGGGCCCCACAAGGAACCCGCCTGATCCCATCCTCCAGCTCTCATCGCATCTCATCCAACTGCCCAAATCGGCGTCGACGCTCACGTTCCTCTTCCTCTTCCGCACCTACGCGCGAAATCACCTCCAGCCTTGGGCGTGAAATCGCCGGCGATACTTGGTGTTCCTCTCCCTCTTCCACCCCTACGTGCAAAATCCCCTCCGTCTGTGCATGCGAAATCGCCGGCGACGCCTCCTGTTCTTCCTCCACTTCCGCTCATCTGCTCCTGGCTCATCCGCTGATCTGACTGGTGGTCGCATTGGTGCTCATATGTGAGGTTGCTGCTGCTATTATGTAATGTGGATTCTCAAGTTGATTAGTATCGATCAACTTTCGTATACATACAACATACATAGACATATTTGCTGAATATTCTTGCTTGGATTGACTTGCCTGTTGGACTAATCCGGCAAGATAAGTGAATACAACAACTAATTACAAAGGAACAAACTGAATGATGTATCTGTTTTGTTTCAGGAACATATGTGCTCTTTTGTCCACTGAATAATGATGCACTTCTTTCACAAATAAAGTTTTTAGTTTCACAAATACCTTACTGAAATCATGTTGTGTGTATTTGTGGTGTACCACCAAGACATCTTATAGCTAACTTATAGCTAGCTTGTTGTATGAGTTGGCTTTTAAGTTAGCTCTACTTAATATGACAAAATTTTGGAGCTAGCTGCCAGCTGCACTATTGACCTTGCTCTTAGTGCATTGATGGTAGGTCATCAGTCATCACGTATTCACGTGGGTAAACGTACTTCGAAGTACCGGGAACCGGGTTATACAGGAGAACAAATATATCTCTTCAAGTACTCCAGTTACTTGCTAAGGGCATTCCCAACCCAAGACACTAGCCATAGTTTCCATAAACTCCACATCATTAAGAAACTAGTACTAGACACTACTCTTCCAATGCAAACACTACTATTACATACTTCAATTTAATGATACTTATCTCTCATGACGTTTTGGATGTTGTGTATAAACCATGTCTCATGCAAGATATGGTTTCCCTCTCTTTCCTCATTTATTCACTTGCCACATCATTTTTTATCCTAAGTGGCAGCTTATTTAATGCTATGGACACCATCATAGTCATTGGATTAGAAATGCCCTAATAGCTCGTTTCTTGTTTTGCTCGGGGGATTAACACATTAATCATGTTTGGATTAGATGCGATTGCTTTCGTCGCCTGGAGCTCAGGCGACCGTGGGTCCGCTCCATGGCACCAGCCCAGGCGAGCAGAAGAGCGCGTATCATGCAGGTTTGGTGGTTGCTTCAGGTGGTGTTTGGATCAGGGAATTAACTTTAGTTCCTATATTTTGATACTAATTTAGTGTATTAAATATAGACTACTTACAAAACTAATTACATAAATAAAAGCTAATTCGCGAGACAAGTTTTTCAAGCTTAATTAATCCATAATTAGATAATGTTTAATGTAGCATCACATAGGCTAATCATTAATTAATTAGGCTCAATAGATTCATCTCGCGAATTAGTCTAAGATTATGCATGGGTTTTTTATTAATAGTCTACATTTAATATTTATAATTAGTGTCCAAACATCCGATATGATAGAAACTTAAAAGTTTTAGTCCCATCTAAACAGGGTCTCAGATTGGTCTCCGGCCAGGTGAATCCATCTTTGGAAGCCAACAAATTACTCCATATGTCCCTAAATATCTCTAAATATATGATACCGTTGATTTTTTTAATATATTTGATCGTTCGTTTTATTAAAAAATTTTAAATAATTATTAATTTTTTCCTATCATTTGATTCATTGTTAAATATACTTATAGTTTTACATATTTCATAAAAGTTTTTTAATAAGACGAATGATTAAAAAAATTAACAGTTATATAGATTTACATATTTCACAAAGTTTTTAACAAGATGAACGATAGAAAAATATCAGCGGTTTAGGGACAGAGGGACTACCAAACAGCCCCAAAAAATGCTTTGTTGCACTTGCAGGCTGCAGCAGGATAGGCGCGGAGGCGCCATCGTCGTCACCAGCCGCGGCGCACGACCACGACCGCGACCGCGGTGGGCGGCGTAACCGCGCTAGCTCCGCCGTGCCGCCTCACCTCGCCCTCCCTCCCACCCCGCCGTACGTCCCGAGCGCCCACCTCCAACGCAGCTCCTCCTACCTCCGCTTCGCCGTACGCATTTTTAATGTCATCACCAGCATTAATTTTTCACCGCTTAAATAAATTTTCGAGCTCAGACGGCGCCACCGGCCGGCTGCGTCGTCGCCATAGCCCATGCTCTCGCATACCTCGAGATCCGCCGCGGTTGCTTTCGCTCTCCCTGATCTGATCATCCCCCACTCGAATTCTCCCCCTCCTTTTTTTTCTCAGCCGCGGAAAAGAAAAAACAGATAAAAAGAAAGAAAAGGGGAATCTTGGAGCCCGCGGCCCGTTTTGCAGCCTCACCCCTCAACTGTGCGTCGTTAATCGCGGGGCCCTCCCCTCCCCGTCGCTGCTGTGGTTGCTGTCGTGCCGTGTGGGCGTCACAACGAATAATCAATGGCCTCTCCTGCATCACCAAGAAGAGAAGAGGAAGGAAAAAAAAAATCAGAGAGAGGGAGAGGAGTAAAAAAAAAGAAGAAGAAGAAAAGGAGAAGGGAGACAGGGGAGTCAGTCTTCTCCCTCTGCCTCCGTGCCTGCGCCTTTGCTTCGGAGTCCGCCAAGTTTAGATTCGAGGAGGAGAAGGGAAGAGAAGAGAAGAGAAGAGCTCTCCCCTCCCTCTGCGGCGTGTCGGAGCAGGCGATTGGCTCCGTTCCAACAGTCCAAGACGAGGATTATTTTACAAAGGTTAGGTCTTGCCGCCGCCCCGCTGCCGCTTGTCTGTCTCTCTCCCTTCTCAAGTGTGCCTCATTTGTTGACTTTGCTAATCCCCAAATCTGATTTGGCTCCCCCGCATTGCGCGCGGCGGCAACCTCTTCCTGGTGCGCTTGCCACATCAGCCTGGCCATGAACAAAGTTTTCGCTTTTTTTTTATGCGGGAGAGATGGGGATGATTATGCTTGAGGGGGGATCTTGAGCGTGTGTATAGGATCGAGGGTTTTGAACCTGATTTCTGAAAGCGCCTGGTTTGTGAGGCTCAAGAGTCTCTGCTTTTTGCCGGTTTGAGCTTTTAACGAAAGAGGCGATGGGCTCTGTTCTGCTGAATTAGCCACCTCGAGGATGGGGAGGTTGAAGGATTGAAGCTCTCTTTTCCTTTCGCAGAAGTAATCGCCTGTGTTCTGGCCTCTCTGTGGATATGTTTCAGAGCTTACCTGTAGCGTCGAGTTTGTCTGCAACGAAAATTGCTGGTGAATGTTTCAGATGTTATGTATTCCATCCATTTGAGATTCTCAAAATTGGTTTTGGCTCTGTTTAGGATGTTTAATGCCTCAAGTTCCTAGTTGGTCCACCTATTTGATTAACTCCACACATAGAAGAGCAGAAGTTGGTACATCCTTGCTGTGCATTGTTGAAACTATTTGCCCGTTCTGTAGTGATCTGAAAGATGTCACATTCTGCGTGCGATCCCTTCTGTAATGAGGTCAGTGGTCGTTTTGGGAAAGCAAGCATTTCAGCAACAGAGTGGGATATTTGATATCTACAGGCCTTAGTAATGCTCATTTTACAGACTTTTCAGCACAATAGGTTGTGTCTGTTTCCTTGCATTGTTAAAGTTAGAAGGTTCCCTATATATATGAAAAAAATGCAATGCGGAAGAAAGGAACAGAGTAACATATTTGAATCGTAAACAGTGAGCTGGGTCAAATAATTTATAGCTATCAAGAAATTGTCTTGTTTGTCTTTCGGGCTTTAAAACAATGTGTGAACTCCTCGTTTTGGAAGAAAAACTCTGACATGAAATTACTATACTGTTTTCTATGTACACCGTTTTCCATTGAACCGTTGAGTTTGTTTGTTGTTTACAGAAGCTGCCTTTTATAATGCGATTGTTAAATGACTTGATGTATAGCTTTATATTTTCTGTGTATCTATTTGTATTTGGATATGTGAACATGGTTGGATATGAACTTAGGCTCTTTCTTGATTGACTTAGGGTGTAGGATCCTGATTTTGTTCTTGAGGTATGTCCTCAACCAGTTCTTCACAGCCACCAGCATCGTCAGATAGAGAATCTACACCAGCCAGTGATAATGCAACATCTCCTGATTCAGATGGTAAGCAGCATATCATTTTCTTATATGATCTCTCATTCTCTCTACATGACTGCACTACATACATTATTATTCCCTTTCTTATCTTCCAATTTATCCTTCATGGATTTTGCAGGCACGAATTCTGCTGGACCCGCAAGAAGCAGAATTGCACTGCAGTTGGATCAGCGGTCATTGCATTTTTCTGTTACTGCTTGGGTAAATGGATTAAGCACAACAACTAGAACTTTCAGCAATTATTGCATTGCACATAATTTTCTATTCTCTGAAATCAATTCAATGCTGAAGATCACGCTCTTGTCTCAAAATCCCATTGGTGTCTATATAAGAATACTTTTTTCTAGGGCACCCTCATTGGCCTAAAAAAGGTCAGTTTTAGAATTCTTCACAAGTGAGTTAATGTTCAGAATTCATTAGATATATTATCACATAATAGACTGATGAGCATATATTATATCAGAATACCAGATGAGATTGGTGTAGCCATTTATTTATTTCCCTCCTTAATGATTATTTGCTCTTTAGTTCCATAGGAACAATATTTAGTATACTTTTTAAGTGCTCGCCAGTACAAAATTTCAACTTTAGTTTGGGGATTAATTTGTATGCCTTGTTTTAGCTTCCATGTATTAATCATGAGCACAAATTTACACAGCTTTTAGTTAACATGTTTAAATTACTTTAGCTGATTGTCAGATTATCTTTATCACACACACAACACATTTGTTTCCTCTGTTTTTTATAGGTTCTTATTGTTGCATTGATTGGAATCCTTCCACTGACACCACGACAACTGCAATATAAGGGATATCGTTTGTCACTTCTCGGCACAACCTGCACCACAGGCTATGCTTTGTTTGCTTTTTATCGGGTTAGTAACATGTCATCTGTTTTATTCTTCCCTTCTTAGATACCTTGCACAACTTTTACCATTTTTCCTTTTGTTCAGCTACCAAGAGCAGGAAACATGCATGCTGCTCAGATCTTTCACCATGTAGCTTCGTCAAAGGATTTTATACCATTCATGTACTGTCTTATGTTTGTCATGTCTAAACTGCACTTGAAGCGTAAGCATGGCTTGTTTACTGACATAATGTATTCTTCATATTTCCACCTAAACACCTTTCCTAGTACTTGACACGATAATATTTTTTGACAGTTGTTTTGGTACCAGTGATTTGCTGGGCACTTGAACATGTGGCCAGATTTCTACGGCGCCATTTTACTAATTCCTCTCTATACAGGTAAATGAACTCAACAGATTATAAGCACAAAATCGATGAAGAGTATGTTTGTCTTGCCTTCTATGCATATGCTGTTGTGCTATCATTCACATATTTAGGATAAGGCAGTTGAGGCATTATCTTCCCATTCTTGGTTTATGCTGCTATATTGACTAAACATTTTGATTACATGGCTTTTACTACTTCATCTCTCTGGGTGTGCAATACCTGTAAAACCATCACAATGCAATGAAGAAAACAATATGGCTGTACATGCCCTAGTCCATCAGTTGTAAATCAATATGTGCAGGAAACTGTCATAAATGTTGAATAGTATAGGAAGAAGGGAAGATATACTACGAATATTGGACATTCTATATTGAGCCTCGGAGGGCTAGGTATATATAGGAGTACATAGTGAGGAGATAAGGAATGATTACAGATAAGGAAGGAACCATACAAACCAATCCTATCCTAATATGACTCTAACTACCATATAAACAAAAAAACATAAATACTTTATGTGCAGGAAATCTGCATGGCAATAAGTTGATAAAAAACAAAACAACCCTGCAATACTTTGCCTGCCGAACATACTGGTAAATGTGTTATAACATTTGAACGCATTGTGAATTTGTAGGACATATCTGGAGAAACCTTGCACATGGGTTGAGACAAACACAACTGCAGTCAAATTCCTGAGTTCAAATGCGGAGATTTTGTTGGGATTTCTTTTGATTTTGTCTCTGTTCTCGTCAGTAGAGTCCTACCCTTCAGTTTTAATTCCCCCATTCCCATTAACCATTCATCTTAATCTCTTATTACTTTTTACTTCTGTTGTGTAGGCGACAACGCAATCCTATGCAAACGTTCATGTACTGGCAGGTTAGTTTTTTACATAAACACTGATTAATTTCTCCAAATGACATATTTCTCTTTTTTTTTGTTGACTACAATGCTGCAACAAGACTTATCTTTCAGGTTTTTCTATGATATCATTTGTCATCACAATTAGGAATTTGGAGTGTTCTTTTTATATCTAGTATAATATACTTTTATTTTTCTTGCGTGGATATCATCTTATCCACTATAAACAAGTGCTTGTTTAGTTGTACATCAAACAGAATAAGTACCAAATGACGCTTAATTTTGCACTGCACATGCTGGCTAAAATGCTGGTGACGAGCTCGTCCAAATGCGGATAGCTATATTTCAATAATCTCAGGATGCCAGCCAAGGGAAAAGGTGCTCCCATGGCTGAACAAAATTACCAATTAAGTGTATGCAATATTTGCATTTAAAAGATAATTTGGGCAATTTTAGTTACTTCTGCTCTCAGTTGTAAACCGCAAACCGCGCCCCTGCATTTAAATGAATGCTTGTCGGGTTGTAGAGAAAATTTATTATTTATTAATGTTATAGTCACAGAAAATTTCTAGCAAATCACTATCTCACTCTGTTTACCCGCTATTGCAGTTACTGAAGCTCATGTATCACTCTCCTTTCACTGCCGGTTATCACAGAGCTATCTGGCTTAAAATTGGCCGTACAGTTAATCCCTATATCCATCGCTACACTCCTTTTCTTCATGACCCGATAAATGCTGGCATGAGATGGTGGTTCAGGTAGCATGGATATGGCTCAATTAATCATGTAAAGGTGTTTTTGGTTACAGTTCACAGTTAACACATGGAGGATCTTTTCAGTAAGTTGTAGTTTGCGAGCGACATGTTTAGTACCTTTTCTTTTTGCGATGTTGCGCTGATATTACTTTTAGTTACTGACAAGTAATTCTTGTAACTTTACCTTGACTGTAGAACTAGTGTAGACCTTAGTAATATGGCCAATACCATGAAGTGAAAAATGGAAAAGCAATTTATTACTATGATGCAACTGGATTCTGCTCCTGATTTGTATCAGACCACTTCATGTACCATCCCAAAATATAAGTTTTGGGTAGGATATGGGCATTAAGAAGGTTACACACGAAATTAAATGGAAAAATGTATGTGGATAAATTGTTTATATCTTAAGATAACTTTTAAATGCTATAAGTTATTAAATTCTGGGACGAAGAGATCAGTTGGTTTCAGGCCCTGGGCCATGTAGATGCATTTGGTTGCAAGGATGGAATGGGATGGGATGGGACGAACCCACTTTTGAGGTTGTTTGGTTGAGGGGTGAGTGGGATGAGATGGTCCCTGGAGAGGAATATTCCTCTCAGATCCGGGACCAACCGATCCGGCAAATTCTGGCGGACGAACTCGTCCTAGTTGGGACGAGCGAACGGCATGACCCGCTCAAGCTTGAGGCCAGCCCGCGCGCTCGCCCTACTCGCCCTCAGGAGCAGCGGTAAACACCGGCGGGCTCGGCGACGGCGACGGCGACCGCGGCTGCGGGGGCTCGGCTCGGCGACCGCGGGGGCTCGACGACGGCGACCGCGGGGGGCTCGGCTCGGCGACGGCGACCGCGGGGGGCTGGACGACGGCGACCGGCGGGGGCTTAGCGATGGCGGCCGACGGGCTCGGCGACGACGACCGCGGCCACGGGGGCTCGGCTCGGCGACCGCGGGGGGCTCGACGACGGCGACCGTGGAGGCTCGGCGACGGCGACCGCGAGGGGCTTGACTCGGCGACGGCGACCGTGGCCGTGGGGTGGCTCGGCTCGGTGACCGCGGGGGACTGGACGATGGCGACCGGCGGGGGCTTAGCGACGGCGACCGCGGGGGGCTCAGCGACGGCGACGGCGGATCTAGTGGTGGGGAGGGCGGTGGAGGTGGATCCGCGTCCTTTGCCTGCTCGCCGCCGGCCTGCTCCTCCAACCGCACCCCTGCTCGCCCGTCCGTGCTCCTCCTCTGTTCGTCCGCCTGCTCGCAATATTGCGCCGCTCCTCCTCGCCGCCAGCCATCGTCGCACCTCCGCTCGCTCTCCTCTTTCTCGCTGACGGTGATAGCAAACGGCGCCCATCCCATCTCTAGCTCATCCCTTCAACCAAACAAAAAATTAGGATTGTCCCATCCTACAAACCAAACACGTAAATGGAATCATCCCAACCCCAAAATCAGAAATGGTTTCATCCCATCCCACCTAGTCCCGAAACCAAACACACGCTAAGATGACTAGTGCATATTCCAGGGGCAATTTTTGCAACAGTACATGAAAATGCAGTGCCGCAATATTTCAAGAATTGTTGCCAACACTCTATTCGAAGCAGGACTATTAAAAAAAATCAGTAAATCAGTACTATTACAAAGAAAATTGAAATGCGATAATATTTATTTCATGAAACTCCCAGGCTCCAATGAGAGTTCATGCGAACCATCCCTAGGCCCTGAGATTAAGTGTGAGGTGGAGCACGGATCCGGCCTCGATATTGTACTCGTGGGCCGCCTTGTCGTCGGTGACCAGCACCCCTTTGTAGATGAGCTGCCCTATTTGCCTGTCCTCCTCCTCGATGCGCGCCCTGATCATGGCCCCGGTGTCCGTCGGCTCGATGCCCAGGCCAAACACCTTTGCCGCTGAGAGGCTTCACCTTGATGTTCATGCTGCCTGGAAGGAGGCGGAGATAGAGGCTCAGCGTCGAGCCGTCCTGGATGTTGTAGCCAGCCACCGTGCAGCCGTTCTCCAGCAACTTGTGGTCGAAGAAGAGCAGCTGCTGGTCCGGCGGGATCGGGATGCCCTCCTTCTCCTGGACCTTCTCCTTGACAGATCGTGTCGCTGCTCTCCACCTCGAGCGTGATGAGCTTCCCCATCTGGGTCTCCACGACGATCTGCATCTTCGTGTCTCGACGGACGTCGATCGACGACGGATTCGGCTGCTGGTTTGTGGAAGATTTACGACGTACGACAAAACCGCGGGGCTTTGCTTCGATGCTGTGGGCGTATTGGCTTTGCGTCGAGACTTGAATCGATCGATGTAGGACTGGTGTTGTGTTATGCGGCTCCGGTCCTGTGGTTTTTATTGGTGGTAGAGGCAAGCTTTCGCCGTTCGGGTTGGTTTCCAGTTCCGATACGGCCGCGACGCCCAGCGTTCGCGTTGGGCTCCATCTCCGGTTCGGCGGATTATCCAACTCGGGCCTGTATCTGGACTCTGAAGATACAAAAGACGTACTGTTGCCGGTTGGGATTTTTCCTTGAGATCATGTAGTAGTTCTCGGAATGGGACTCGTCATCGTGTACGTTTCTACGACTACGATGCCGGAGTACACGGCTTTGTCGGGTACGATTATACGATGTGCCGAAAAGATGCAGCCCGATCTAACTCAGGACTAGTGTGATTCTTGTATTGTAAGCGACGAAGTGCATCCCAGTCGGGTACGGTACGATTTTGATGTCGAAAGGGCGTAAAAGTTCTGTCATTGCGGATACGAGAAAAACACTGAGTCCACTCTCACACGGTAGGAGTACATGCATTATTTGAAGCTGGCCGGCGTGCCAGGATGAGACGAAAAAAAATTTGGTGGAGACCGGGTATAATTCTGTAAATCGGCTCCCGTGCAGCCCCGACCCCGATGATTGCCGCATGGACAATCTCAGAATCGGACGTCTAGTTCGTTGCGGCTTCAGGCCCAGCGCAAATATGGCATAGGAGCCTCGCTCGACTCGGCTCCCGGGCCCGTCGGGTCGTGGGCTCATATCCCTCTCGTATCGGCCTCATTCGTCCGCAGCAGCCGCCGCCGCCACCGTCGGCCAGCGGCGTCTCTCTCATCTACTGTCTCTCGTCCACCATCGCTCCCTCTCTCGGACATCGTCCACTCGGCGGTGATGACGAGGGCAACCGGCTCACAATCGCCGACACCCACTGCGGCAACTCCATGCATGGTTGGTCTTTCGGCAAGAAATTTAATTACCGGTAAGGAGATTGAGGTTGAGGGTGATGACGCGGAGGTTGTACACATCGGTCTTGTCACTCATTTTCTTGAACTGCACATTACGCCATCAGAAAATGTTAGTGGCACTATCAGTATTAGGTATATAGATGCCGAAATTTTGATAATTTAACTCTTTTAGAAAATTTATTTGAAAAGTAAACCGTGTCAAAAACTTATTTCAAAAATAAACCGTGACCTCAGCGTCATTGACGCTGAGGTTAACGATTAAACGCCAACGATCATGACGCTAAGCACACCTTGGCGGGGCACTATGGAGGGTTGGATGGGATCAGCCATGGGTTTTGGCGCTGACCCCTTATGTAGTGATAAAGTGGGTTTGTGTTAATTCTTGTCACTTTCTATGATGTGCCTTGGTGGTTTAACTTCCTATGATCCCAGGTTCGACCCCTCATTGCTCATTTTTTTGCTTGCTTTAATCACACGAAAAGAAACAAAAAAAAAGCAGGACGTAGGGATCGAACCCTAGTCTTCTGCCTGACAGTGGACACATTCACCGTTGTGCTATACTTCGGTTCATAACAGTATTAGCCATGTTTTGCATGTAACATATATATGGGGTCAGCGCCAAAATGCATGGCGCTGACCCCTATCGCACCTGCCAATGGCTCCGCGTTTTTGATCTCAGTGCCAATCCCAATGATGACGAGGTCACGGTTCATTTTTAAAATAAGTTTTTGGCATGGTTTACTCTTCAAATAAGTTTTCTAAAAGGGTTAGATTGTCAAAATTTCGGATATAGATGCAGATTCTCAATTCATATAGATGAAGCCCAAGAAATGTAGCGTGAATTTGGAGCAAATTTGTTCAGAGACAGAAAGGTAGTAGATAATGTTAGTAAAGCACTGTTGTTAAACAAAAGTCGATCTCCCCAGAAAAAAAACAAAAGTCGATCTGCCATTTACTATGGCCGGAAAACCGTATGATATACATGTTAATTTGTTCAACTGAACTTGACACTCTTTTACTGAAATATATGCACTGACCAAGTGACCATGAAGAAATGAAATGCTTAAATCTCCAAAATCTTCAGTATGTATCAAATCTAAATGGTAAAGGACCAAAATGAATATTAGTACTTTATCAAATCTAATTAGAATCTGCAAACGTTCAGACTACATACATTGAAATGTAGCAATTAACAACTATATTAAAGTTTGAATGCAGAAGCCCAGATCAAACTAACTAATCAAATCAATCCTGCACCATGGTAAGAAAGAAGCCCGTGAGCTCGATCAAGAGATAGCAGCTACTGCCCACGGGAAGATGGAGTACATCTCTGCGCTAGCCGCCGGCAAACAGGGCGAACTCGTCGTTAACGTTGCGGTCGACGAGAGGGATGGGTTGTGGGGGCGCGGCCACTCGCTATCGCCGCCCCGCCATGCAGACGACGGATGAGATAGGCTGCGTCGGCGGCAGTGGCTGCTGCTGAGAAGAGATGTCGATGATGCGATGTGAGCCGGTGAGGCGGTGAGCCGATGGGCCCGGAGCCATCGAGCGAGTCGGCTCCTCCGTCCTGTTTGCGCTGCGCCTGGAGCCATACATAGTGAGACGTTCGATTCTACGGTTGTCCACGCGGCAATCATCGGGGTCGGGGCTGCACGGGAACCGGTTTACACCCGGTCTCCACCAATTTTTTTTCTGGATGAGACTATCCTGCTTCTCTTTGTCCAATAGGGCTCATCATTCTGTACGTTCATACGACTACGGTGCCGGAGAACACGGCTGGTCAGGTATGACTACTATGCAATGGTTCGAACTGATTTAGATATTATTATAAAAAATGATCTTTCATTTATAGAAACGCATAGATCAATAGTAGCTACAGACCAGCAAAATGTATGAATGGTGCATACGGTTGATGATGAACGTAGGCAAATTAAATGTGACAAAGGTTATGATTGGTTGAGAATAGAAAGTAGGTAGAGAAATTAAATAGTGTAAGTTTGTAATTACTCTTATTGGTTTTATTATTCTTAATGTTTTGGATAAGGTTGAAATCAAATTTTTTATAACTTTGCCTTTCAGTAA